CATATTCCAACTCTTAATTTCCCCCTTTCTCCCCCTCCTCCTACTACTGCTATTACTAATTTTAATACTATAAATACTACTCCTGCTCAACACCAATCGCATACTCCACCTCCACTGCCTGACAGTCCAAACATACACAGTCCTAACATACGATAACACAAACGCCAAGGAGCGACCCCTCTAAAAGATATCCATCACCACTCATAGACAAATTTTACCATGGAAAACATGGGTGTTAACATATGTACAAGCGTGTTATAGATAGAAGAAAGATGTGGGAAGAGTTGACGACTTGTCGTCAGCCAGTTGAGTGGCAACACGGGTAGGGACTACTAGTCTTATAGCCGGTTTGGTTGGTTTCATGGCAGTATTATTGTGCTGTTACTCTAAAACGCATGGCAACCATTGAGCCCGGCATTTAAGAAGAGATAGAGCAATAATAATTAGTTGTTTAAATATTTTTTCTTTATATGCAGAGTTTTGGGGACTACCACTAGATGATATATATGAGATGTATGCACCCTATTTCGTTAAGGTGAGGAAGGACTAGTAGTTGACTTTTTCCACAATCATATGAGTGGACCTAACGATAGCATAGAAATTCACATAGCAGTGCATCCCGAAAGGTATTCACATGCTGACTGGTGTGGTCTAAAGTTTTGACGCCGCCGGAGCCATATCAGCACCCCAGCGAGACTCAGACTCGGGTTTTGGTAGTACAGCATATAATCCGACACTTTAACACCACGTCACATTGTTACGAATACCCTTTGTTACAGGACAGATGTGATTAGCAAGAAAGGCCATATCTTTTCCCATATCACATTTTCTAAGGGGATTGTCGAAAAAGCAGAGTTGTACTTGCTAACAGAATCGACTACATCTCATACATATAATTTCCCGGTAGTCCCGAAGGGCTATTTATAAAAGAAAAAAAGTAGAACCTCTGATCGAGGTGTGACTCGACGTTTCATTCCGTAGGTAAAGTGGTTTGGATGAGCTTCTCAATTTGATCTCAGCAGAAACCAAAGGAAGATGGCTTTGGAGTGGAGACTGTTGGATGGTGAGTAGAACTCCTGAACTCATCGCCCTGTGCTTCGGAAGAATGAGCGTTGAGCTTCGTCCGTCTTATCGCTGCATCCATCGTCATAGACAGAAAGCATCATTTGCCTAAAAGCTCCACTCCGCTAAACCGATAAAGGTGTCTAACTCAACCATACTAATTGCATGTAAATAATCGTAAAGTCTTAAGAAGACATCTAATGATGTGGTTGCCTATCTCTTGCTTGGTAAGGCCATTTCGTAAATTACTAAAAGTTAACTTTGCTTCGAAATGTAAAAGCGAGTCACATTGAATGATTAAGGAATTGAATTTGTTTGACCTTGTTTTCGCAACTTGTTCATATCGTTAGGAGGACCTGGAGGAACGCTCCTTGTCCGAAGTCCATTGTATGCATGATCATCTCCAAAGTCGGACCTTGGACGTACTACATTCTCAGACTTTTCTCCGGCATCGTCAGTGGGTCCTGCTATTCTTAGCACCACACCTAAATTCGTCAAAGTAACAAGTGAAACAGATCTTTTGACTTATTGTCTGCTAAACAATTGTAGTATCTCTCCTTCTGCTCTAGGCTATTCACCAATCCTATATTCTCGTATCAACCCTTCAATAGCACAATTTCTTACTTGTTTAGCTAAACGCCTTTTAAGACTTATTCAATCTCTGCGAAGAAAAGTTGGGTTTCGATAAATTTCTTGCTTCATAATTGTTGAGCTTACTTCCATTTCGAGTGAAAGTGTTGAGTGAAGAGATTCGAAGGTCGGTTCCACCACAAGACGACGGCGGATTCCTTCTGACCAGCTGTCGATTGGCTTTACTGGCAGATTCATGCTGACGCTGTATCCGAGGCAATCTCCTTCGATTCCGGTGAAAACATGCTAAGCTTTCGTCTGTCATATGACTGACATCATCAAAAAGCCCAGATGTAGAGTATATATACCACTTTTGAGGGATTTGTTGGTGAGTTTTCTTGACTCAGTATCTTGAATTTAGTTGTGACGATAATACCTCGCTCTGATGATGTCCGTCATATGACGGACGAAAGATAGCACCTTTTCACTGGAATCAAAGGAGATTGCCTTAGAAACAGCGTCAACATGAATCTTCCAGTAAAGCCAATCGACAGCTATTCAAGAGGAAGCTGCCGTCGTCTTCTGGTGGAACCGACCTTCGAATCTCTTCACCCAACACTTTTACTTGAAATGGAAGTAAGCTCAACAATTATTCAATCTCCCCTCTGGTTACCTCACACACACCCCCACACACTATGCTAGGAGTGTTGAGCCAGAGCTGCAGTTTAGTCTGCAATCCTCTTCCGTCTCTTATCAGCCTGATTCAGTTATTTTACCCGATCGCTGATACCAGATCCTTGCTATTCGAGCCGTTATGTTCTAAACACTCCCTCAGACCTCTGCTAGCACGTCTACGCTAGCCTCATGGAGCAAGCTCAGTTGGCACGGCAACCCAACTTGACGCTTCCAACTCCCTTATCACTGTTCGGCTTATGCACCGAGTTTAACTCGCGGTTAGCCCATTACTTCATGAACCACATATATGAGCAAACTTATCTACTAATAGCTAACTTGCAATGGTCACCACCGTTTCTCTTGTTCTTCTATCCATAATGCCAAGTCTATGACAGTCGTATGCCCTATTCTTGTGTGTGTCGACTAACAAATGCGATAGTTCTAGTTGATTTGACTAGGCTCACTTTGGATGTCTTCTTTTGGTTTCTGATTCTTCCTTCTTGGTCTCCTTGTCATATATTTTCCATAAATTAGAAATATTATGTGAAGCAAGGTTGGGTTATGAGGAATCTCTTGTTTCATAATTGTTGAGCTTACTTCCATTTCGAGTGAAAGTGTTTGGTGAAGAGATTCGAAGGTTAACCAGCTGGCTTTACAGGAACATGCTTGTTGACGCTGTTTCTGAGGTAATCACCTTCGATTCCAGTGAAAATGTGCTCAGCTTTCGTCCGTCATATGTCGGACATCATCAAAATAGGGTATCATCCTTACAGCCATATTCAAACTAACGAGTCGTTAGTATTCCTGAAGGTCGTCCTGCCAATAGGACCAACGGTTCAAAGAAACCTTAACACTTTCTTCGGTTATGCCTTTCCTTGGATGGCTAAGCCCTAATGACCCTAAACGGAGAGGTCAGGACAGGT